GGCTCTGTCGGCGGTAGCCGAGGCGCTCCGGTACTCGTGGGGCCGCGAGGGGTGTAGGGGAAGGTGGTGCCCGCGTTCCCGGGTCTGCCTGGGTGGGGGCCGGCGGCGGGGAGCTCCGTCTGGCGGGTCTAACCTCCGGGCTGCGCTGAGGGCCGCCAGTCAGCCCGGATTGTAAAAATATCCCTCCCGAGCGAGTCTGCGGCGTTGGAAACGCGAGCCAAAGCTGCTGCCAGTGAGATGAGTTCTCGCCAGAGGTTTTACTTACAGTTCACCTCTTTTCTCGCGAGTGTTTTCGGTATTCTTGTGAATCTTTTGTTTAACCAAGACATCTTTGGATCTTTTTTCCCCCCTCTCTATCTTTTTAACCGTTTTGATATTGTTTGCTCAGGCAACTAAATCTTGTATTCTGTCATCTTTGAGGTTTCTCTTGCAGTTTCGTAGCAGAACTGGTTGGCTACTTTCATTTTTAACCCATAGTTTGCTTAACTTGTTCAGAGTGGATGTGTACACTGAAGTGGTAAAGCTTTTGTTGGACAGTCTTTTAGTATTTCTACCTGTGAAAGTACATTATGGGTTGTGCACATGAAAGTGTTTCTCTCAACTTTAACTGTGAACAAAATCTTAAAAAAAACCCACCCACCCAAAACACAAAAATTGCCAGATAAATTATTTTGCCAAAATCAAGGTTATTTCAAGAGTGCCTTGCTCCTATTTCTGTCCCAGATTTTCTTTGGTCAAAACTGTTTAGATCCCATGCTGGAAATGTAGGTTTTTCTAGACATGATAACAATAGTTGTAGGGCTAACTTGCTTTGAACCTCCAAAACTGTGTGGTTCATAGGAGTGTGAGTAACTATGTTTCCTCAAAGCAGATTACGTGTTTTATGTATGTGGAGTTGTTTACTGTTCATATTTACAGGCATCCAGATAGGTTAATTTTGGTTGCAGTGTCCATTCAGAAGCAATCCTTTTCTTTAGTTTTCTGCTTATGAAGATCTCTGTCGAAATTTCTTACTTTCTGGTCTCACAGTGACCTGGGTGTTTCATGTACCAGCACGTTAGATTTGATACCTATGTTAATATATTAATACTGTTATTCTGTTATTTTTGCAGCGTGTTCTTCTTCTTGTTGCTTCAGATGTTGATGCATTATGTGCTTGTAAAATACTCCAAGTAAGTCTTTGTTCATTATCACTGTAGGCTAACTTTAAAAGAAAAAATGCCCTGAGTTCCTTTTAATAGGTTTGACCTGGGAAAAGGGTGAAGGTTTATCTGCTCCTGTAAATTATATTTTTCCATCAGTTATGACACTGAAAACCAGTAAGTCATTCTCCCAAAGCTCGTGTAGATGTGTCATTTGGGATGTATTCCTTCATTCAAGATAAAGATTTGTATGAAATAGAATTACAGCATGGTATAATGTTGTAGATTATGTCGTTTTCCTTCATCTTTGCTAACAGCTGTTTCCTTCATTTCAGGCTTTGTTTCAATGTGATCACGTGCAATATACACTTGTCCCAGTATCTGGATGGCAAGAACTTGAAACTGCCTTTCTAGAGCATAAAGATCAGGTGAAAAAATAATGGAAACTTTTAAAGTTGCAGTTCAATTTACATAGGCATGCACTTCTTCCATTTCCCCAACTTAAAATGTCAGCTCTTAAACTAGTTGTTATTATTTATGTTAATATTGTTTAATTATGTTAAAATTTAACCACCAAACGGTGGTTAAATTTTAACATACCAGTAACAAACTTGTTAAGTATTTTACATCAGCTCAAACTAATGCCTATAATTTTGATAGAGTTAAATTAAGTTTGCACGCATTTTGAGATATAAAAGGTGGTGGTGTTGGATGTCTGTCCAGCATCCCTGAATTTGGTCTTTTGTCTTACAAATTTTCTTCCTTCTCAGAGACATCAAATACCAGAAAGTAAACAAAGGTTTTGGAAATAATGAGCTTTGTAAAAGTGTTTTCGACTTTCTGTGTTTCCTGCTAATTTAAGTAAAAATTATTCTTTTTTTTTTTCTTTTGCTTGCAGTTCAAATATTTTGTTCTTATTAATTGTGGTGCCAATGTTGACCTTCTGGAGATCTTGCAGCCTGAAGAAGACACTTTTTTTTTTGTATGTGACAGCCACAGACCTATCAACGTAGTGAACGTTTACAATGACACACAGGTAAATGCTTTTCTTTCATAATAAAAATCTTTGCAGTGTGGTGTTGAGTGGTGCAATTCTTTTCTGTGTTTTGCAAAACTGCTGCTTACAGTGTTACTAGGTCAGGCAGCAGTATTGGTGGATATTTGCAGTAGTAATGTACACAATCAGGAAAAAAAAATCTCTTTTCAGTAATAAAATACATACTGTTAGCAGTGTGACAGTTGTCAGTAGTAAGCACCTGTTCATCCTATTGCTATAAATCAAACTGCTAATATATCATATTATAAATATCCTCCAGAATGTGACATCTCTCAGTTTCTAGCAACACCTAGAATTTGAGTATTAAGCACAAATTATTTGACAACATGACTCTAACAAGCATAACAAAAAAATACTTTCAGTAATACCGTAACAAAGGAATATGTTTTTTACTCTTATGTTGTATAAGTAAGTATGGTCTTTGTATCAAAAATCAATATTTTTGTTATGCCAGGAATCGATTACAGCCAAAATGAGTTTTTAGTTTCTCATATTCAGTATCTGAAGTGTTCTCTTTTGTGATTTCAGACATGCTTTAAGCACTAAATAAGATACTTTATTTAAAATACTTTTTTTTCTGCTAGGTTAAGCTTTTAGTTAAACAAGATGATGATCTTGATGTTCCTGCTTATGATGATATCTTCAGAGATGAAGAGGATGAAGAAGAGGAGGACTCAGAGAATGAAAGTGATGGGTCAGAACCTTCAGAGAAACGTAGACGTTTTGAAGAGGTGTGTTTCTGCTGCTTTATTGTGAAAAGAAGCAAAATAAAATAGTTACTAATCATCATAGTAATGACATTGAGTTTAAAAATTATGTTGTTAGATCACAAATTCAAATGTCTATGACCAGTAGAGTTTCACATACACAAAATGTTTATTTATCTGAACTCTACTGGAGTTTTTCTCCTTATAAAAAAAAAAAAAAGTTTTGAACTTGATTGTGCATAATGCCTCTTTGTGTAACCAGTGAACTGAAGAGATCTATCTCTGGTTATGCTTTTCAGTCTAGTAGTACAACTTGTTTAGATATAACTTTTTTTTATTAATTGAGACAACAGAAACTTACAAATAATTTATTTTACTGCTACGAGGACATACAAAAAGTGTTGCTAACAAAAATGTATTATGATAGACACAAAAAATTATATTTGCCATGTTATTTGTAGCATATTATCTATTTACACCATACGAGGAAGCAAAGGCACATGACTAGGAAGAGACAATGTAAAGACATGCTCTGATTTAATATGTATTTCATGTTATTTTTCTATTAACATTGTACATTTTTTCCTACTAAGTTATGAAGGGCACTAAAAGCAGGTATCAGAAATTCAAAGGAAAATCTGCACATAGTATAGACAGAAGCTATTTCCAAATCTATTAAATATTAAATATTTCACAAACATCTTATTGATTTTGGGTTTTCAAGCTGATGATGCTGTTTATGGAGCTTAAATATAGAGTGCCTCTCTGAGCTTCAGTAATTATCTCTCTTTCATCAGTGTCATTTTTATGTTATACAATGGTAGGATGCAATGTTGCTAGTGTTGAAAATACTATCTACTGGGCCTCCGATTTGTGAAGGTGAGCTAAATAAATGTTAGCCCAGAAGGATGCCATGACTTTATAAAAGTGTCCCTTGGAAAATATTTTATAATACTTTTCTTATTAGATTCTTTTTAATGAGGACTTATTCATTAGAGTACCTGGATAGGTGTTAATCTACTGAAGTATTTTTAACATCCAAATTAATTTACAGGATGTAATAGAGAGAACAATGAAAAGGCGACAGAGGCGAGAATGGGAGGCACGCAGGTGTGTTTTACTGTTTTTTTTATGTTGCTCGTATTTCTTTCTTTCTCTTATTCTTTGATTAAAATCTTGTTGAGAATACAAAAACATCCTATGCTGCTTGATTTGCAAGGTGCTTTAGTTCTAACTTTATTCAGAACGTGGAGAGATATTTATTATATAAAAATAAAGCTTTAATAGAGGATAGTTGTAAATAGTAATTTATAAATCTGAGTATCAATAGGTGTATTGCTTTACTTTTAAGTAGCTGTAATAGTCTTATCTTGTCTATCTTAGGTGAAATTTGTGCTTCTCTTTTCTTCCTTTACAGTCCTGCTGTTGTCCATAGGAATGAGCAGGAACAGATCAGATATGAAAATTGGATTTGAGGAATAATGACAATAATTTTTTCCTTTTCACTTCATGAGTACAATTAATTGTGGTTTTCATGTTGCTACTAAAATCTAATTGCATTGCTGGAAAGCAATTTCTAGCCTAAGTTTAATATTTCTTTCACTGCTAAAATGAGATTTAAATATTATTTCACAATTCCTGCTTTATATTTTTATTTGGATCCAATGACCAGTTCACCACTTAGTCAAACATGGGTTTGTGGTTTTTTTCCCTTTATAGACGAGA